ATATATCAACGTGATCTGTATAATGAATTTGAATATTATGGCAGCGGTGATACAGCTTCGATTTTCGACGTCCATATATTATGCAAAGTGCGAGTCCGTCGATTACTTCAGCCGCGTCGATAATTTAATCGTTTGTCAACATTTGCCTGTTGAATGCGAAAGGGAGAGAAGGCGGGGTCGACGGCCTTGTTAAATGGAAATCGAAATCGACGGGCACGGCCGCGTCCTCGCGTCGGGCGATTGTTGCGCAAGTCGGAAATTCTCGATCGTGAATCACGATCGACGGACTGACTACGCCCACGTGCGCGCCGGCTGTTGTGCGATTCGAGATGCAAATGCTTGTCACACTTACCGAGTTTCTCGTGTTCCACTGACCTTAGTCTAGCCGAGAAAAGAGAGAGGGATAAAGAGAAAGAGAGAGACGGATCGAGATTTATACTGGGTAAACGAATCATGATCTACGATTTCAATAAGCCACGCAGAGGTGCGGTGCGCTGAATAACGATATAAAAATGATTGAATAAAACGCATACCATTTTATGCCGTAATGATAGAGAATAACTAAAAAGTATCACCAATTACCAGATCAAAGGGATATTAATCTTTTCCTTTGACTGATTTTAAAACATTTCAGCTTACGAGCGTTATTAGCATATTATGTAATAAAGTTAATTGACGATAATTAATTACATTATATAACTGAGGATATAAAATAAAAAAAAAAAGGAATATTAAATAAATGGGACAGCAGAAGGTTTACGTTGCGTTAAATTAAAGGTGATGCATAAACGGGTAAAGTTATATTAAACTAAATTGCTATCGTGTTTAGCAAGATTAACTCATCACAACAAAGTCGTGATCACGCTCCCTACAAAGGCGCCGGGGTGTCAAAGTAAAGCTTGGCATAATACCGAAGGCCACTTCTCTTGATCCTACATATCGCATAACCCGGTTATGGTAGAGCAAGTGCATCCCTATTGTTTCTTCTTGGGAACAACATTGTTATTTCGAATCGCTAATTTCATTTCCTTTCTTCCGTAGTATCACGTAGCTTTTCTAGAACCGACCTTATCCCTTAGAGTTTAGAAGGTTATCCCTTTCGGCTTTTAACCTTACCCTCTTTCTAACTGTTTTCGATAATACGCTTACCTAATTTCTATTTAATTAATTAGTATTAGTTGCCAGTTTATTTTCAACAATAACACCGAAATAACAAAATAGCCGTAGGGAATGTTTGCCTATCTTTGATAGTTGAGAGTATTCTCTCATGACGTCTGGTTTTACATAAAACGATGTTTACCTCAATTTATTATCAACAACGTGAATATTTATGGCAACACAAATTACTGCAAATGGTAAACTTTCAATAATTATACAGCTGTAAGTTCTTTCACTTTTATTAAACGTTATTACATTTTATCATATCGTACTGTATAGTCTATACTTTTACATCGTATTCCTTACATTTATTACATTTGAAAAGTTTATTTATCCCGCCATTTTTTGATCTGTTAAACTGATGTTTATCTAGAGCTCGATTGTCAAATATATCGTTGCTTCCTTCTCACAATTAATTTCGCGCTATATCACTCAGTCGACTTGTGTCGGACGTTTATGAAGCCACAAAGTTACAAGAAATTACCGTGATTAATGACGAGAGAAATGTAATTGTTTTCAGATCGTTACTGGTGATCTTCGCCGCGCTATGTGCAACGTACGGCCGCGCGGACTTCTTCAGTGGGAAGGGTGAGTTCCACGAAGTTAATTTTAGCGCTAATGGACCCACGACTCTCGCGGGAATTTCGCAGCCATTTGTACATCCCTGTCCTTTCGGTTGTCTTATTCACTGACGATCCGGGCTGCGATATTCTCTCTGGAGGATTCTTTCCGTGAGTGAGATATCCTCGCGCGAATATTCAGCAGCTTTTTTGCTCAAGCAGCGTTCTCTTTTTCTACGCTCGTGGCGACGATTCGCCTTACGTGACTGGTGATTTATTACTATGTTAAGTACGAAATGTATTTAGTCAAGCGGTGAATAATGATATCGGATGGCGATAAGGGTGGCGGACAAATCGTCATGGATGTACATCAATCTACGTACGGAGATGACTAGAGTGTCATATGATGTTTTCAATACGCGATGAATTACAATCGATAAAGTACAAAAATGATGACCTATGTCATTTGAATATGTATTTATATAACAATATTGATAATAGTAATGATAATAATAATAATAACAACAACAGGTAAATTTAAGTAACTGATTAATTAGTTCATTAAATAAATCATCTTTTATACCGTTTATATGAACATATTATAAATGCTGTATATTATTTGACTTCAATATACTCATTTTTATAAATTATTATTTATTATTCAGCGAAACCTATATTGCAATGGATGTCTTTTGTCAATTTTATATTCAGTTCGAGCGCTTGATACTTCTTTTTAGAGGCAAAGCAGTTGAAGCAGTAAATTGAAACGGTGAATTGAACAATTTATATTGATAAACGTTCGTTGACTGCAACGTCGATCGAATGATTTGTTTTTAACCTTTGCAATGCTCACTATTCGTTTTCGCGTTTCTCTTATTTCGCATCAGAGCAATCGATCCTATTCTTTTCCAGAAAAAGATTTAATTGCGTGAAGTCACACACAAGCTTTCTAATTCAAGAATTTCATTCTAGTTTCAACTAGTTTCAACTAGTTAACCGTTTCAACGCCATTATATGTTAAAAATCCAGTTGTAATTAACTTTTTCAATATTTGCAGCTTATTACATGAACTTTTCTAATCGTTAAATTTTAATACTCATAAAATCAATCAAACATCACCATTATTGTTAATTTAAAGTGCACAAATAGTCCTTACATCGATAATAAAGTTTAAAAATTTGAAAAATATATAATACAACATATTTGTAACTCAACTTATTGATATTTTCAATGTTTCAATTTATTAAATTGCTTTATATTCACTGGATGTATAAGAAATGTACTACACAAAAATTAAATGTAATTAATATTTTTTCTTAGTATTTAAAATATTGAGTAAACAACTGTCCTGATCAATACATATTTAATTAAATTTTATCTATCTTCAGATATAACTGTGCAACGCATACGGTGGCATCGTCGAGATTCTTAATACTCAGGGCGGATTCTACGCTCTCGTCACGTCTCACTCTAATCTGCCAGTTTTATAAGGATACCTCGACGATTCCTGAGGGAATCTGAGGATTTTTCACTTCCCCTTCCTGACGAGAGAACCGTCAGTTGCTCACCTCCGCAGTAGTAAAGCCGACGTATGGCCCGACATGCCGCAATCCCGTAATCTCGCGTTGTATTCTCGCACTTCTTAGAAACTGTTCCAATATCTATTTACTCTTATCAATTCTTACACAGAAAAAAATAAAAAATCATTTTTATGATGATGACAGAATATATTTGTAATTTAATCATGAAAACAATTTGAATAAAAAATTGAATTATACTGAAATGATAGAAATGTGTTAATAAAAGTAAATTTTATGATTCGTCGTGTAGTAAAAAATATAATGGACTAAATAATTGTTATGTAATAATGATGATATTGTTTCATGTAAAAAGTGACATCTTTTATTTAAAAATTTTCATCATCGTTGCTACAAGAAACGTCAGGAAGCGTCAGATGAATCATCCGCATCCAGAAGATGAGTTAATAAAGCAGTGTCTTTGAGCATAATTAGTCCACTGTCTCCTTTTGAAATGCGACGATTATTATCATCGCGTCTTTCGTCCTCGTTTCTTTCAACAAGGATCTCATAACCCGCGGCGCCGTCCCGCAAACGCAAAGAAATTTAATCTAGCGCCGACGGTTTTGATTAAGAATAATAAAACGACAGAAACGACGCTACCACTTTGCCTCGTCGTAATAAGAACGAATTAACGCAAGATTTTAGTTTGCGTTTGCTCTTGCGTGATATATTAAAAAGTTACTTATTCACTCGCCACGTTCCCGACGAAAGTCGCTCATGTCTTCCGTTTCTTCTTCTGGCGTTTTTCTCACGCTTGCTTGATCAACGTCCAGAAGATCTCGATAATTACGATCTCGACCAGTTACTATCAAAGAATCAGTCGGCTTCGGGATTCTCGCTTATCAGAAGTGGACGCAAGGGGGTTGCAAGGGGGTTGCAAGGGGGTTGCAAGGGGATTGCAAAGGGGTTGCCGTGGGGTGGCAATAGTAGGAGAGGAGAGGGAGAGCTGGTAGCATAGGATGGAGAAAGGGGCGGCCCCGGAACGAATAGCTCCCGCAGGATGCAAGATAACGCTGCTCATCCCCGCAGCCTCATTTGTATCCACCCCGTTCCGTTTCCCGTGGAAACCGCTACTTTTTGCATCTACCGTCTACCTCGTCAATATTTAACGGGCGCTCGTCGATCAATGCGATTGCGCGGCGACGTAAAAATGAGAATTTTTCGGGCCGCCTTCCGCTACGTAGATCTTATAGATCACTCTCGTAACTTCTCCTCGAAGGGATTTCGAATATTGCCGGTTTGGGTGGTTCACCAATTTCTGCATTGTGCGGCTCGAAAGATCGTGCCACCTTGCATGAAACAGGATTAAATTCTCTGTCAATCATTTACGAACACGTTAAATTGTGAAAAATAAATGTAAAAAGCATTTCACAAAAATCTGTTTATTACAATATTTTGATATCATATTTTTTTTTAAAACAGTTTTTATGCTTGTAAATAAAGTAGCATATATCGTGAACATTTAAAAAACATTTTAGGTTTACATTATTTTATAGGTTTCTTGTTTAAATATATTAAAGTTCACAAATTTTATATCGTGAATTTTTAAAATATAAAATAGATACAATGCTTTCAGAGCATTATAAAAATACATAATCACAAATTTTTTTTTGTTATGATTCATTTTATTAATATTTGTATTAGTAGGAATAATATATTTTTTGCTTAATTCAAGGTTTACTTATTTAAAATTAAATAAAAAGAAAAATTCAATTAACTTTATATTTATCTCTTATTCTTCTATTAGGAAATAAACCAAATTATTTATTGTATTCATTATTTATTGTATTTAACTCCAATAGAAAAATGATCTTTCGATAATTATAATTTATCATTTTGTTTAATTGACTCACTCATCGATGGATTTCACTCGTATATAGATAAAAACACGCAATGATGAGTGCAGACGGATTCGTAATGTATCATTCGTACTCGTTGTCGAATGAATAAACATTGTAGCAAGGTATGACAATATAGACGTAGAAACAGATACATTGGCGTTGTGCATTCTCCGGCTGATTTACGATCGCGTGATTTCGATAGAGAGCGATACGCGAGCGTGCGAGCACTGCCGTGGGCAACAATCGACTGCGATAGGCAACCATAAAGATGGCCAATTTTTGTTTCGATGACAGATTGAATCGGGCTCGCGAATCGAATCGAACGGGATGACATCCGTGACGCGCGACATGATTTTTGTATCGACTTAATCCGTTCGCAACTAGAAATTCTATCGGGCGGTTTTCGTTTGTTTTACAGCGGCGCGAGATTACGGGATTCCCGGAAATAATCTTCAGCGCGATGTATAATACCGACAGAGAATCGTGTTTCCCATTTTTACTTGTCGGCCGCGCGCGCGGCTCCCTCTCTTTCTCTCTCATGCAAAAAGCTGCAAAATTAAACGCGTTTCCTAAAGCGGATGGAAATCGTGCGCGGCGTTCAAATCCAATTTCCACAAATTTATCTCGAGGCAAGGATAAATGCATTTTATTGTGCTCCGCGCGCGGATTTTATTCACCGGAAAACATTCCTTATATATATTTTGTGTGTGTGTGTGTGTGTGTGTGTGTGTGTGTGTGTGTGTGTACATATATGTATATATATAACTTTAAATGATCTTTAAATTCCCTTATCGAAGGAGTCAAGAAAGCCATTGTTTTCTCTTTCGTCAACATTCGAGATTTTGTGTTTCTCCTCTCATTTTGTGTTTCTCTTTGTGATTCAGGGCATACGTTATTAAAGATAGAGCGGAAAAGTGGAATTTAGTCTTTGTGAGAAAGAAACACTTTTCGATTTTTTTAAAATAATTATATTCTACGATTAATTATATTCGACTGTGAAAATATAAATTTTGATTTGATACTCGCACAGTTTTTCGAACAATTAGTATAGAAAAAAAAAAACAAGAACATAATGTAGAAATTAAATTTTAATAACAAAGTTATTTTGTGTTGTTTCTTAATTCCGTTTTAACATCTTCTATTTTTTATTTTATGAAATTGGCGATGATTTCATACAAATAATGTGAGAAAGTGAATTCTTTCGTATACTTTCATATATGTTATAAAAGCAAAAATTTTAAATTATTCGATACTATATTGAACGATACTATATATAGAAATTTTTTAAATAATATTGCAAATTCAAAAGTTTATAAAAAAAGTTTTCATAGGACGATTTATGTCCACCATTTTTATTCATATTATCAATGTTCTACTCAGCATGCTCCAAAGAAAGCAGCTATGAAGCCAAGCTAATAAAAGAAAAATATTGAGGTTTGACATTATGGAAAATAAAGGAATTCTAGATAGCGCGTTCCGCCAGACGAGAGCGCCGGATAGTCTAATTTTCTAAAAACAGATGAGAGACGTTTGCGCGATTAAAATTTATGAGACCGCGATCTGCGAGCAGTTAAAAGTCTAGGAAAACCGCGGCTGTCCTCGGTTTA